TAGTGTATAACACTCACCAACGCTTAAGTTAGCTAAATCTTCTACAGCAACAAGATTTTGCTTATGATGCTGTTCGTTATAACTGACTCCATCTCTAAATTCATGAGCACCGAAGCTAGTATTCTTCTGCTGACGCATTAAAGTTTGGCTACCACACATAGAACTAATCATTTTAGCAATTGCTGGCTCAAGATTTCTAAAGAAGAAGGATGTGCCAAACTGCCCGAAGATTGCAGAACCATCATAATGACCATATTGGGAGTAAAGTTGATTTAGAGATTGCATACCAGCTAGGATGCAAGCTCCATATTTTCTACCTTCTGCCATCATAGGTGATAAAGCAGGAAGTTTACCAAGGGATGGCAGCTCATCGATAACAATCCATACTCTGCGTTTACTATCTATTCCTATTTCCATAAGCTGCGTTAATGCAAGTTCAGTTAAACAAGATATTAGTGGTAAGGTTAATGCACGACTGCTGGGTTTGGTTGCTAGAAATAACCATGCTTTGTTTCCTGTCTGAAGATTAGCAAAGTATTGTTTAATTGAAAATGCTCCATTGTCATCGGCAGGCTGTAGGTACATAAGTGGTTTGCTATTTGCTGCCAGTACCGCTACAATAGAGCCAGACGTTTGTTTGGAGTCATTTATAAGATATCTAGCGGCTTCAGTACCTCCTAGTACGGTTTTTAGATATTCTATATCTGCATGACATGCCATATTTACTACATCTTGTACGGAGGCATTTTTCCCTCTCAAAAACTCAACGCAGCTATTGAGGACAGCTTCGGCAGCTGTTTCCCAAAAAAGAGTGACTGTTGGATTGCTTTCTGTTAAAACCTATTAATATCTTGGAAAATCGCTCTAAATCCTCACGAAATTCACAATCTTTCCAAAAGTCCCAAGCTTTGCCTCGTTGATCGAAAGGATTAAAGATAATATCTCCGCGGTGTGGATTGTAGTACTTGGCAATCATCTCCCCAGTTTGATCAATAATAATAGCTGGTTGCTGTTTTGCTTCTACCTGAATCAGTAAATTATGTATGAGAGTAGTTTTACCAGCACCTGTTGCACCAGTAATTAACACATGCCTAGTTTCCATATCTTTTACTAACGGCATATCACCAATAGTTAGATCGCTGGCTTTACCAATTTTACGCAAGCACTTTCTAACTTCTGTGCTGGTCAATACTTTACTGCTACCATCTTTTTGCTTTTCTGCTTTTATATCTTTGCCAAATCTTGACCATAGCAGATAGATTAAAACAAAGATGCCAAACATGACTAGCACAGTAAGAGCTAATCGTATTTTAACAAACTCCCATACTGAAAGGTAAGATGCTCTATAGAATCGTGATTTAAGAATTTTGCGTGGATCAATATCTTTGGCATATAAACCTTTTTTGTCATAAGCATCTATTTTAGTATAATAGTCCTTAGCATTGGGGTTAATCGCGTTTCTAATAAAGCTGCCAGCATCATCAAAATTATCAGCTAATAGTGCTTTCTGATAAGTCATAGCAGCCCTTAAATCTAATAGTTGTGCTGGTTTGTATGAGATAACGCAGACTATTGCAACACTCACTAACAATGAACTCGTGAAAGAGCTATGTAGAACCTGAAGTAACATCCGTAGCTTATGTAGAAAAACTTGACCACCACCAATAAAATCATTTAACATATTTTACCTAATTCTTAATTTCCCCATCGCTTTTTAACCATGCCACTAACAGTTTGCGTGAGTATTGTCTATGATATTTGGGATTGCGAGAATGATAATGCCGAACAGCCTTATGCCAAGAACCGTGTTGCTTATATAACCCAGTTAGTAGCTGAGCTGCATAATTAATATTCTTGTTAGGTGTCAACATTTCAGCTATTGAGGTAAAGTGTTTACCATGCCAGAAGTAATTGAGCTGCATCACGCCAATATCAATATTCTGCTTTCCTTTATGTAAATATTGCTCAGCAATGTTCTTAGCTTGCTCTACTGAATTACTTATGACCGATTTGCCTGAAATATTTAATGAATATGGTTGGTAATTAGATTCCACATCAGCTAAAGCAAGTAGTAAACCACTAGGAATATCATATTGATATTCTATTGTTTTAATCAGATTGGCAATTTGATTATCAGCATGCACACTTACTGATATACTGAGAAGAAATATGGTAATCAAAGTAAGTTTTGCTTTGCAGATTAGTTGCAACCATAGTAGACTCAAGCTAATCACATTCAAGATAAGAGATTGTATGAACTGGTTTAAATCACGCTGTACTCGAGATAATTTTTGGAATTTAATGTTTTGGCTTGGCATGACTTCCAGTGCGGCTTTATCTGAATTATTTAGTAAATTTATACCTATTTTATCTTTGCTATCCCTCATTTTAACAGTTTCATTAGTGCCATATTTACTAGCTAAAGCTAATAAAGTTACATATACTGAAGATAAGATGTTTGTTAACAAACAAGGGGAGTTCTTAAATAATAGATATCCTACTGGGTTAAGTTTTGTGCTAGTAATTACCGTACCGGTTTCAATACAGTTGTTTTTCGGTTTACATAATGATTTTCCTGTCTTCAAAGATTCTATAACAGCATATACTGCCATCGGTCTATTATGTCCTATGCTGTATTTCATATTTTAAAATTGTCCTATCTCTATTTTGTTCAATAAAAATGCTTGGCGTCCAGAAATCACTGGTATGGGCAGGGGGACGTATTATGTAGCTCCTAATAGTTCTAGTAATCAACACAGTATATTACATTCTGTACACCCAACCATATCTACTACTACAACCATTAGTAATTCTTATTCTACTGGCTTCGACAGATATCCAAGCTCTCATTCTTACCCAGGCAAAAGATGATATATCACGCTTGATTTACTTTTTATCATCTGGTTTTCCTACTCCATTAACCGAGTGACCTAGTGTACCTATAAACCCTTTTCCTATACGATCCTCTTCATATTTATCAACTTGTTGTTTTGCTTTTTGTTCCTTTGACTCGGTCTCAGATCTAACTTTTGCATATTTTTCCAAGTTGTTCTCTATAATATTCTCGTGTTTTTTCTTTAAACTATCACCTTGTTTTTGCAATTGTTTTTTAAAGCCACCAACATTCATTCCTTGTTGCTCAGCATACTCTCTTATAGCAGTATCGGGGTTATTGCTGATCTTATCTTGATGCTGATTAGTAAAGCGATCTAGCTGCTCTCTGCCACTTGCCCCTGATACTGTAGCTCTTCCTTGACGAATATTGTGCATGACATCTTGTACATAATGATCCTCTTGTTGTAATTTCTGCCAAGCTTGCTGTGCTTCTGGGCTACGTCTATCTGCCATTTTATGGGCAGTAGCGGTATCAACGCCATAATCTTGTTTTAATTGATTGACCACTTCTTGATACATATCACGGCTAGAATTTGCAGAATTGGCATTAACTATAGTTTGTGCTTTGTGCCAATCATCAACTTCTTGCTGACTAATTGAACATTGTTGCTCCAATCTTTGTTGTTCTTCATAAGCGTTACGCACAGAATCGCTGTAGCTAGTATCAATATTGTTTTCTTTTGCCCATGAACTATTAGAGGCGGCTCTTACGAGATTAGCATAATTCTTATCTGTGTGTTTTTCTTGATTAACACTGTTATTTTCCCCAACTGATTGCTCACTGGAATTAGTAGCTCCAACTGAGCCTTTAAGACCAATAGATGCTCCCGATCCTGTTATAGCTTGTAGAGGCGTACCATATGTTGCAGAGGCTTCAACAGTAGTGTTAGCTGCTTGTTGCCAGCCATAATTACTATTATCATGTAATTGTCTAGCACTACTAACCGCTTGCCGCAAAGCCTGTCCTACCTCACCCATTGAATCATAATTAAAGCTCTCACCTGCATGTTCTCTTTGGGCAAGATGAGCGACATAGTCTGCATTTCTTCCGATTGTACTGGTATTAGAGTTCGATAAAGATCGTAGACCCTGCTGATGTATAGATTCAGATATACCTGCTCCTGTACTTACTTGTGCTGCTCTACTGTCTTCTAGCCTATAAGTAGTTGCACCGCTAGAAGCAGTAAATCCTACTCCAGACTGTCTTAAAGTATTGCCACCAGCAGTGACTTTCTCCATAGTGCCGTCCATATGTTGATAAGAGCTGCTACCCGCAGCATAAGACTCATTCCAGTCGGTCTTAAAACCACCTTGCTGGTATAATTGCTGGTTGCCAACTGAATAATTATCAAATGACTTGTTACCTGTCACTGATTCATTAGCCACTTGTGATGCAGCAGATTGACTAGCTCCTGTTATAGTGCCAGCTAAATGGATAAATCCACCTACTCCACCTTGAATAAGACTAAAAGCAAGAAATGGTATTGCCATCTGTAGTCCTGATGCCACTGCTACAATCTTGTCAGTATAATTGCCTATTTGACTTATAGTACTAAAACTAACTACTCGATCGGCAATACCAAGTAAAGTAGTGCTGCTATAGATATCGATGAACATGTTTAGTACAGCATTTAACGGAGCCCATAACTGAAATGATGCTACGAGCGTTAAATAACCTAAATATCTGCTCCAACCACCACTCATAATCAACATTGGTAACATGAAGATAAATGAGCTATATACCAGTCCTTTCAATACACTCATTAATATTGGTAAGTAAGTAGATGCTAAATCTCCAGCAATTCGCCAATTTGATTCTTGAGTAGCCGAAGCTCTTGTATAACCATAATCATCAGAGTAGTTTTTAATAGCATTGATCATCATTTGCTGGCGTATTAACTTCTCACCTCCAACATTAACCCCTACATAGTTTTTAAAGGATAGCTCAATATTCTTTTTAAAATTTGAGGTTAGTCGCTGGAATGCTCTTTGTACGTAATTAGTTTGTCCTGCCTGTGCAATATCAGTATCTTGTACCTT